TCATTTTTTTATATCCATGTAAAATCATATATTATTTTAAATATCATGTATAATAATAGTTATGACCTTCACTACTCCTTATTTTTATTATAATAATTCTTCATATTTAAAAAAAAATTACACTATATAAATATAATTTAATTTATGAATTTATTTGACTAATTCTTATGTTTATTTATATTTTAATTTAATTTTCTTACTATCGAATTACATATTTTTAATTGTGTATTCTTTTAGCCACTTGAAAATTTATATTTTATATATCAATTAAAATGAGAGATAAAACGAAATACTACGGTACTGAATACAAGCTTCCCGTGCAGTTTTCTCTGAAATTAGTTTATATTGGTATTCTTTTTAGCTAGATCTTTTGTGTATTTTTTATTTTTTTTTATCTTCTTTTCATCTCATGTATGCTAATTTCGGGAAGAATTCTATTGTTAGTTCACATAAATTTTGAAGGAAATAGTAACATGAAAGATGATTTAAAAATGAAGATAATTACTTTAGTATTTTACAATTTAAGAATGATACGTGTTTAAATGAAGTAACATAAATAATAAATCATTTTGTACTTTTAACAAATTTAGATGAAAATTTTATTCATAAATACATTTGGTACAATTATGGAAATGCACACACAAAAATATTTAAGCTAAATAAGACAAAAGTTTTATTTTTAAGAATATAACTACTGCTTGAAAAGAAAATATATATAAAAAAAACTAAATAAATTGAAGAGTATTTTCGTAAACAAACAACTTATTCTTAGAATTTATGTAATGCATATTGTATTGTAAGCAACCAACCAAACGGTCAATAAGAAATAATCTCAGCATAACTTATCCTAGCATAACTTATCTCATCATAACTAATCCCATCATAACTTGTATTCAAACCAAACGACCCCTGATATCTAACTTAACCCTAAAAACCAACTCATGATGGGAGAATTATCCAAATCCATATAAGAAGACAACTCCAATCTCCAACCAATGTGAGACTTTAACCTACTCTAAAACCCCATTCACGTCTAAGCCCAACTGGAGCGTGGACCGAGAGTCCAAACAAGGATGAACCTGGCTCTGATAACATGTAAGATGTGACACTTGAGTCTAACTCAACCCCAAAAATTAGGTCATGAGGGGAGGATTGTCCAAGTCCATTTTCCAACCAACGTGGGGCTTTAACCCACTCTAACAAAAATGTGGCCTAGTAATCAATGAAGTGGTTGAGAGTCATGAAGTCTTAGTTTCAAAATTCAATGGAGACTATATCCTATCCTTGATGGAAAAAAAATTCACTATTCTTACAGGAGAATCATATGTAGTTTAAGTCCATTGTTGTTAGGGAATGTAAATTGTCCAGTACATGATGTATAGTTGTACATTTGACTTTGTCGACCAATATTACCTTTATGCTAAACGTGGCCCATCCCCAACTCAGAAATTTGGCCCAATAAACACTGAATGCCCAACTATCCTTTGGGAAAATTATGCAAAATAACAAACATTTAGCCTATATTATGTATTATAGCTATAGTTTAAGAAAATTATAATTCACGGCTATAATTTTCCTTATTCTTGTTGTTCGCTTGATTTGTATAAATCTAGAATTTGTATAATTCGGTTCCTGATTATACAAATTCAAAATTTTGTATATGCTTACCCTATTTGTATATGATTTATGAAAAACTCATAATAAATTATCCTATTTTTATATTTGCAAGAGAAATATACAAACGAAGTTCTGAAAAATTCTTAAATGTATACATACAGAATTTGTATATACTTACCCTATTTGTATATTCGCAAACGAAATATACAAACAGGCAAAAATATACAAACCACAACGTTCATAGCAAACATAACTATAGCGATGAAGCGCAATTATTGAAACTATAGATATAGAGCCTTATCGTGTCTAATTATGCTTGCTATTTCCAAAATTTTCTCTTATATAAATAAATTAACAAGACTAGTTTAGTAGGTATAAAACACAATGCCAACGACAATAATTTGAGCTGGGTGATCTTGGCCACATTCATGAAAAGAATATTCTTAATCTAATTAATACCGATGAAGCCCACTTGCTAGCTCCTTCTGACGCCCGTGACTAGATTATTAAACTATAAAATTCCATGATCGTACAATTTATAGATCACAAGTTTGAGTCGCGAAATCAATTATTAATATTAATATTCGTACTCCAAAAAGTGAACGTAGGATATTCTGTGCACCAAGCTTCCCTTCTAAAAATAAGAATTCCATATAAGAGAATCGGCTAGGGCTTTATTATAATTACATATTTCCTTTGCTTTCCTTTTGAGTAGAACACTTTAGTACCATGGGAATTTCCTGTCATGTTTTGAGATTCCAATTGAAATATTTAATTTACACTATGAAGTCATTAAAGTTAAATGCCAGTAATTATCTAAAGAGTTAATTGACTAGTAACCTAGAAAAAAGAAAACAACTTCTTACTATATAGTATATACTAACACTCAAAATATATTATACACTCTGCTGCAATAAATAAAGGATTCAGCGGTAATAATATAATTATCGCTATATTATATTTAGTGTCAATGATAAATATGAGGTAATATAACCAACACTCTATATAAATATCACTAAAGGTTTTAGCGACACTGAATACAAGGGAATTAACTCAATTGTTGTTAAATGTTATTGCGACAATAAATTTTGCTTGCTAAAAAGTAAATTTGTCGCCACTAAATATCTCTTTTATTGTAGTGTCAGTGTATAGATAACATTGATAGAGGCCTAGGGATGAAACAAAACAATACCTGCATAACTCTATCCAGCTACCCAACGATCGCTTAGAATTTACTAAGTTGGAATTAATTAAACAAGGAACATGTCTACCTATATTAATTTAATTCCATCTTGACATATACCTCCAAGATCTACCAGCTTAAAACTCCTTGCTTACACACATGGGGCTAAGAATGTTTTCTAATCATTCTTCTAATCTTCTTGCATATTCATGCAGCCTATAAAATCCCAACCATCATTTTAATTCTTCATCATCTCTTTAGCTAATTACAAATTAAAGTTTTAAGAGTCTAATTAAGATGGCTAAGTCACTTGCCCTATTTCTTCTCTTCAATATCCTTTTCTTCACTGTGGTGAGTGCATGCAACACTTGCCATAAGCCAAAACCAAAACCAAAGCCAAAGCCAACGCCGAAGCCATGCCCCCCTCCTCCTTATTCAAAAGAAGGCAAATGCCCCAAAGATGCCTTGAAATTAGGTGTTTGTGCTAATGTGCTTAGTGGTTTGTTAAATGTAACACTTGGCACTCCACCTGTAAAACCATGCTGTAGTCTTATTGGAAATCTTGTGGATTTGGAGGCTGCTGTTTGTCTTTGCACTGCACTTAAGGCTAATATTTTGGGGATTAACCTTAATATCCCTATTTCACTTAGCTTACTTCTTAATGTTTGTAGCAAGGATGTTCCAAAGGGATTCATTTGTGCTTAAATGGTGATATTCATTTGTTTAGCAATTTCTGATGTTCTATTTGTTTATGCACTAAACATCTTGTTAGGTGCAAGGTTGTGATTTGTTTTGGATTGCTCATTGTTGGAATGACACCTCTTTGTGTGCCCTTTGGAAATAAATAATAAATATCCTAGTATCACTTTCAGTTTGTATCCCTCTCTACTAGTGACAGAGTCAGAATTTTCATTAAAAGATTTAAAATATGAAAAACTAGATACATAAAGAAGCCAATGAGGTCTAATATCTACTATATATACTTAAAAGGTACTCCCTCAGTCCCTCATTACTTGTCCACTTTTTGAATTGACACACCTATTAAGAAAATACTTATTAACATAGTGAGTTTACCATTTTACCCCTATTAATTATGAAGTGCATGAATTAAAAACTTAAGATTTTCAAGAAGTTGTACCTTTTTCAAAGTAATTAATTGAGGGTATAATAGGTAAAAAGAAATTGTCTTTTCTTGATTTGTCAAAATGGACAAGTAATTAGAGACAACAAAAAAAAAAAAAAGTGGACAAGTAATTAGGGACAGAGAAAGATGATTGGTGAGTATAACTTTCTGCCAAATAAACCCCCTTTATAATTCTCTTAGTAGTTCGATTGGTTGGCTACTTAACTCTTTACTTTATTGGTGACAGTCGGCTTCCTTTTATAATTCTCTCCACATTTTCCCTTAACTCCCCTGCCCAGAATTTTTTATTTTAAAAAAAGGTTTACGAACTTTTTTCGATTCATCATATTGATATAGGAAGAAATAAAACTTTTTTTTTTTATATACTTTTGAATATCTATAATTTTAATTTAATTTTTTTTAATTAATCTAATCCAATTTAACTTCAAAGTTTAATCAAATTAACTCTCAGAAACGAAAAGTGTCAAAAAGAAAAGCAACTTGGACAAATTTTATTATGCGATTTTGCGCTCTCTCTATATGTGTTTTGACATTCTTAAGTAGTGTAGAATGTCTAACATTGACTCTTTTACAAATTCAAAGTATGGGTTGATAATATATTTCATTATAGTTTTATGATTCATAGTATCTTTTATACTTAAATACTTTTAATTACAAATTTATAATTCTAATTAATAGGATCTATTCATTAAAAAGAATTGATTCAATATATTTTTATGTACTTATAAGTACACTATTGGATTTGAAGTAGATTTCAGATCAATTTATATTTAGTCCCGGGAGTACCTCATTAAATTTAGTTGCTTTAGACTTTATAGAGAATTAATAGCATCTTGGGCATTTATATTTTATATTAAAATATGGAGTTATATAGAGATTTAAATGTCTTGATCATAGTATAATATAATAAAAAGCAACATGCATAGAAGAAATTTTAGCCCATCAATAGTATACTCCATGTCCTTCTAATATCAAAACATTTTAACATAAACTTCAAAAGATGATCACATTTATTTCATGAAAAGAAGGCAATAACTATTGCCTCCCATCTAAACAACTAGTATAAGCATACAAAACATCAAACACACTGAAAGAAATTAAACTCTATGAATTGGAAATTTGGCTTATTTGCATTGGAAGTTCTTGGGTGCATATTTGCCACAATTGTTGAGCAACAAGCTGAGTGAAAGTGGGATATTTAGATTAATTCCCAACACATTGGCTTTAAGAGCAGTGCAAAGGCAAACAGCAGCATCAAGGTCAACAAGTCCTTCAATTAGAGAGCAACATTTAGTCTTAGCTGGACTACTTCCTATAACAAGGTGCAATAAGTCACCCAACAAATTGGCACAAGCATTTAGCTTAAGTGTGTCCTTTGGGCACTTACCCTTTGATGATGGGGTGGAGGGGGTAGGGGTAGGGTAGTGGGGTTTGGGGTGTGGGGGTGGTGGGCATGGGACATTAGTGGAACTAACCATAGTGAAAAAAAGAATGTTCAATGTGAGAACAAGGGCAATTGAGTATGCACCAAACTTAGACATTTTTAAAAGTTAAGAAATTAGCACTCTCAACAATTTAATGTGGTTAATTAGTAGTGAAAATGTTGTTTGTTTGGTGTTTGAGATTATGAAATGAGTGGCTATTTATAGATGGAAATTCTGATTTTTTTTTTTTTTTTTTTTTTCTATTTTTCAAAAAATTGAGAAAGTCCCATGTGGATATGTAGAGAATATTGTGTAGACAAGGAGCTGGCAAATGCAACTTGAGATACTACTATTCTTTAATTATAAATCTGTATTTTGGTGGATTTTATTAGTTGTCTAATATGATCTTCTTCCTCAAAAATAAATTATTTATCCTTTATTTCCACATGCATGGGACTTAAATTATTTGAACATTGTTCTTGAATATGTTGGACCTGTGCCAAAACCTGGATCCCATCAAGATTAATTCTTACAAGTATATTTTTGTAACAAATATGGTTACAACATGCAAGATATGATAAATAATGAACGGTCAAAACAGTAAATTATATTAATCGTATAAAAGTTTTATATATCATCTTGTCATTATATATAATTTAAATTAATCTTTTTAACATAACTACATATGTTCTTATATGCAAATTAAACTTAGTTACCTAACACTAAAAGACAAAGTAATTAATTATGGCTCTAGAGCAGGATGATATATTGTAGAGAATGACATGCATGCATAATAAATAATTAAAATTAGGAAAAATTAAGCCGTGATTTCACATATTAATAATGTGCTAATGATTAATTAGCCTTAGGAACAAGTGCTATCATCATGGGTCCTGTGATCAATATTTTATGCTCGAGTTAATAACGTGATTAATACAGGAATATAGATGGTAACGTGGTACGCCATTCTATGATAACAATATAATATTATTTTATTTTTGCATATTACGGTTGACTTAGTTATTACTATATATTAATTTAAAATTATTATAAAAAAATATAAATTTTAAGTTCTAAATCCGTTATTAATTTCGAGCAATTGAGACACTTCTCATCGTCCTCCATCGTTTAGGTACACAAAATTCAAAACTATATCTCATTAATTAGGGCTCACCATTTCAAGTCAATGCATTCATTTCCATTTTATCGGAAAAAATAAATAATCTGAAATGTTGTTTTCGTAAAAAAAAATTAACTTATTTAATTTGTGCAACTAGTTGAATACTTTTTCCGTCTTAAAATACTTGTCATATTTTATTTTTTGAGAATCAAATTATATGAACCTTCATCAATACTACAAAAAAAATATTTTCATCATCATAATGAAATGAAATGTAATATTTTTTATATAGTTTTTGAATATCTAATTTTAATATCAGTATTAAATTAATTTAATTTTATCTAATGTAACTTTAAAATATGATAATTATTTTGAGACAGGAATAACTAGATAGTCTAATGTCATCACTTTTCTCTTTTGTAGAGGAGATTGTGTGGCCTATATATGTTCAAGTTTTTCATCAATATATGTGTGAAGTCAATATTAGAAGCACAATATGGAAAAAGAAAATTACTAGGAAGAACAATAATATTCTTTTTGCTACCAAAAAAATAATAATATTCTTTTGGGTCAAAGTGTGCATACTGATATTAATTAAGGTTCTCAATTAATTTTATATCTATTTTTAGCGCACACTATAATGTGTGGTATTGATAGATCGTGGCAAAAAAAATTGAAAAAATCACCGAAAATATTGACAATTTTTATCGTCAAAGATGCAAATGCAAAATTATGATTGGATAAGTATATTATTTAAATATTTTCAACCTTAACTTTTTATTTGGCGATTCATAATCATAGGAACATATATCCTTTAACACTATTCGTGTTTTTATTCGATATTCAATATTTTTCATATTCAAGGCTCTAATTTATAGAGATTCAGTCTCATCCGCTACAACATATCTATTGATGAGTGTTCATATATTGAAAGAAAACTACATAGTTGCTCGTCGGGTTTGAAAAAACATGTCGGCCTTGAACTATTACATATTCTAGAATGTACGAATTTTAGATTAAAATTTTGGAGATAGTTCCTAAAATAAAATCCTCATATAATAAGGACTTTTCTAATAGTGACAGGAATAGACACTTTTTTTTGTATTTAGTTCATTTATTCAAAGTAAACTATCATGGTTTGGAAAATAAAAATAAATTGTACTTAAATTTTGAAAATTTAATGAAAACAACTTGATCCACTATGCTATTTATTTGTTTGTTTTGTTGTTTTATGCATAAACTGCGCAATAGCTGCCTAGAAATTCAACCAATTGTGACAGGACAGCTCCCATTCTTCTTTATCCATTTTTTATTTTAATTTCCTTAATCTTTTGGTGTAGACAAGATCTAGAGATAATAATAATAATAATAATAATAATAATAATAATAATAATAATAATAATACTATTATTATTATTTTAAAAAAACTAATTACGGATAAATTATACTACTAAACAATAAAAAAATATGATAATTTTATTTATTGACGGATTATCAAGATATCATATTAGGTTCGAGCTCTTTAATGATAAAATCACAACAGATTTTAAAGCTATTTTAAAAATCTACACTATATATTAACAGTGAATTATACATGTATTAAAATTATATAGCTATAAATGATAAATATTTTCTAAATATGATGTATTTTAGGTAAGTTACCCTTAACTCATTTCCCAGCCCAAACTTGTTTTTACTTGCTTTTGGGCTTACTGGACTATTTTTCATGGGCCAATTTTAGGGTCTTCATTTAAGACATAGCCGTATGTATAAAATGTTTCATCCATTTAAATTAATGTCAGGCATTTTTTATTGTAACGGGAAAAATTACTGAAATACACGTCTTATGTTTCCCTTATTTCTAATATTTCCTTTTATTTCTAAAAATCTCTAAAATCCCTTATTTCTCTCCTAATTCTAAATTATTTTATAATGTATCCGAGTTACATATTATGTATTCAATTTATTTTATAATGTATCCGAGCTACATATTATGTATCCAGTTTATTTTACTTTTTTAGGGATTAATATAATTACAAACTAAATAGGGATAGATTGTAATTTCATATTAAAACTATGTGATTCCTAAAATTTATACAAATAATAATCGTATCTGAAATTTAGCATCAAGTTTCTTCTTTTTTTTTGCATGAATTTTTAGGGTTATTAAAAAGAAAAAGTTAGATGCCCAATATTTTCGTAGCATATTACTAATTGAGTATAGTTCATATATTTTATTAGTGTAAATGGTTTTACATTATTAGATCACTTGGATAATTTTATATGTAACCGTCGGTAAAAAGAGATTGTAAAAACTTATCCATTCGGTTGTTTACACCAAATAGTATCAATTTATCATAGTTAAGTAATTGAACGAGATAATATTTATTTATTAAAAATATATACAAACATATGACATATATATATTAATTTGATATAAACATCCTGCATAAATAATTTTTTATCAAATGAGATAAATTATTAACTAGGAAAATAAGGTAAGTTACCTACTAAAACATGTTAAAAGACCCGTTAGTGAGCGTTCTATTCCCTATCTTGTAATCTCCTCTTCCATCCTTTGCCCATTTTTTATTTTTAGTTTTTAAGAAAGTACATAAAATAAATCATTAATACTAAAAAAAAAAAAAAGATACTGATCAAGTACCATGGCATTCTGGGCAAAAATCACGGGCTAGAAAAAAAAAACAAATAAAATTCCTAGATTTTGGAACTCAACAAGAGGAACATGGCAACTTGTTTTCCTTCTTCACAAGTGCCTTGATGCTTCCAAGATGTACAAAAATATGCTACACTAATTCTTAGCCAGCCTAAATTCCTGACCTTTTTTTGTTTTGGTTCCCGTTGGTATTTGATATCTGTATTGGGGCATGACTAAATTTGAGTTCGCGCATTGATCAGTTGGATTGAGTGAATGAGGGAAGGTTGCCCCAGGGTACCGATATTGCATTTTCTGAGACTCGAATCTAAGATCTCTAAATAAGGGTGGAGCTGACACATCCAGGATAAAAGTTTTGTTGGTTCAGCATTTAAAGTTTTTATCTTTAATTTGAACTCATTATATCAGTTCATATTTACTATTTATTAAAAATCTCATTAATCTTTACTCATAAATTATATACATCGCAACCAAAAGTATTGGATTCAGATAGATGAATCCGATAACAAAGTGTTACATTCACTTCTGATGAAGGAATCTCAATCATTCCATTACAATCCATGTTGGTTAAATTTGTGACTTACACATGGTTAAAAAATGTTTTTGTTGTTATTATTTTAATCTTCCCTCCTTATACATGAACCCTATAAAAACCCAACCATATTAATACATTCTTCATCATTTCTCTAAATAGCAAATTAAATCAATTGCAAAATGGCTAAGTCACTTGCCTTTTTTCTTGTATTTAATGTCCTTTTTTTCACTATGGTCAGTGCATGCTACACTTGCCCTGGCCCAATTAAACCAAATCCAAAACCAATACCAACACCAAGTCCATCTCCTAATTCTCAAACCAAATGCCCAAAAGATGCCTTAAAATTAGGTATTTGTGCTAATGTGCTTAATGGTTTATTAAATGTAACACTTGGAACTCCACCTGTAAAACCATGTTGTAGTCTTATTGGAAATCTTGTGGATTTGGAAGCTGCTGTTTGTCTTTGCACTGCACTTAAGGCTAATATTTTGGGGATTAACCTTAATATCCCTATTTCACTAAGCTTACTTCTTAATGTTTGTAGCAAGGAGGCTCCAAAGGAATTTATTTGTCCTTAAATGACTTTTAATTAGTTGAGTTAATTGCTTCTACATTTTTCATTTGTTCCCACATTTCCCATGGGGTTAATTTATTTTCGATTTTTCGTTGGAATTAAATAGCGCGGCTTGCGCTATTAGTGTTTGTACGTCTCGTTGAATTAATATATTTCTAGTTAGTGTGACCTTATTATACTCTCTAAGTGAACTATTTTACTTGTCCAGTATTCGGAAAAAAACATTCACTTTTACTTATTTCTTTAACATATTAAAAAAA